CCCATTCTAATACAAGTACATGCTATTCGAATACAAGTACATCCCATTCGAATACAAGTACATCCCATTCCAATACAAGTACATCCCATTCCAATACAAGTACATCTCATTTCAATACAAGTACATCCCATTTCAATACAAGTACATGCTATTCCAATACAAATACATCCCATTCCAACACAAGTACATGCTATTCCAATACAAGTACACCCCATTCCAATACAAGTGCATCCCATTTAATACAAGTACATGCTATTCCAATACAAGTACATCCCATTCCAATACAAGTACATGCTATTCCAATACAAGTACATCCTATTTCAATACAAGTACATGCTATTCCAATACAAGTACATCCTATTCCAATACAAGTACATCCCATTTTAATACAAGTACATCCCATTTCAATACAAGAACATGCTATTCCAATACAAGTACATCCCATTCCATATGTATTATATTATTATATTATATATATACAGTTTGATTTATTTCTGGACCTGGGCTCCCCAAAAGAAAATATTTTAGACCTTTTCATAGATTTCTAAGGCTGTTTCTGATACTCATTGATATGCCATTGCATTGTAAAAACTCAATATGGCTTGCTACTTAGTAATCTCCAAAACCCATCCAGGCCAACAACAATTGTAACTTGTAACCTATATTGGTGTAAAAGTATTTATCTAATTACATCAAATATTTCCCTATAGGCGTGAGCCCATTAGATTAATTTGATTCATTAAGACTATAATTTAAGTATAGGGGAGGTGAGGTTTGGTCCTTTGTTGAAAAATAATAAGTTGGGTGAATAAGTAAATAAAGAAAAACCGAAAAAATAATCTACAGGTTGTCTATAAAGTATTTTTACATGTTACACTTTGTAATTGTAAAGAGACACCCTGTATTATATATAATGACCTCCCCAGAACTGGAGCAACCGCTTGCAGCAAGAATGTGAAATTTGAATATTGTGCCAGAAAAACCAGAAGAGATCACTAGTAAATGTAGTTCCCATATATTTTTACAGATAAATGGCGCAGAATTATAAGCGTCGCTATCTAAAAATTCAGTACTAAATGACACTTACCATATCCAATTAATTATACATATTGACCAGTCATATTGTTTTAGGAAATATTTGGATAAGACTGCAAAATGTTAAGTCCCTCGAGATGTACAGGCACTCCACTTATATTATTTATGGCGCTTTGTTATTACATAGTGTTACAGCCTGGCTTATCTTATATTTTGTACTTTGTACTTGAAATTCATTCATGAAGATGAAGCTCTCTTTTAAGAAGTGAAGTCGAACAAATGCAAAGGGTATCGATGAATCTACTCTCTACATGCATATAAATCTTAGATTAATTCAATATTATTAGATGTGATCAAAGATTTATATAATAGTGTTTGTTCTCTCAAAAACATTTTTAAACTTTCAACATGTGTAAAATTGATGCAAAACCTTGATGTTGTCAGCCTGTCATCAAGAAATTAATTAGACTTCCCCCTCTATGAAATGTCAGGAGAGAGCACCACCATGCAAGTCATTTATGTAATTTATGTCAACCACAAGTGGCGACATAGTTAAAATCTCCAACTTTTTGTGCATGGTGTTAGGTGGTTGGTGTTTGGTGGTTGGTGTTTGGCATTCAACAGTCCTCATTTGCAACAAATGACAGGCGGTGACATTATTCATGTTAATGCCTTGTAGCACTTGGTAAATCTTAGGACTTGGTATGATCTAAATTCAATGTTCATTTGCAAATAATGAATACATTTTGATTACGTAAAATGAAAAAATGTTCAATTATAATAAACAAAGTCTGTTGCATATTTAAAATGTTCAGATATTATCTCATTTATAACTTTTTCAATTTTCCATTTCAAACTTGTAAGATTCAGGAACAATAAATGCGGAAGAAATATCAAATTAGTGCATTTTCTTTTTTTCCTGGTAATTTAGATGTTTGCTGAAGATAACGCTATCAAGCCAGACTCTTGTATTTTACTACAACTATTGTAATTTTGCAGCCTAGTAACTGTTACCTGTACATGAAATTTCACTCTGACTACAATATTTCAACATTCTCCTTTCCATTGCTTAAAATGTTTCCCCATTTCTTTAAGTGTTTTTGGTAAATGTAGCTGACTTCCATCAATTTCAAATTTAAAATGTTATTCCTTGCTAATTACTCTCTTTTATCTATTTCATGTTAAGATGTGATTGATGTGTTGAAATTTAAACAGGGGATAATCTTATTAATAATTAATCTGAAACTTAACATTGTCTATTGTTGTTGTTCCACTACTGTGTGTTGTTTCATTGTTTGTAATGTTAAGGTAGACCTCAAGTAATATGTATACACAGCCAATATAATTTGGTGCCGTTACGTCATCGAAAAAATTTGGCACTGTTCCGGCACCATTTCGGCACCATTCCGACCCTGAAACCTTTCAACACCAAAATTTGGCAGGGGACTAGTCAGTTCATTTTGTGCCGAAACGGTGTCTAAAATCAGATTGCATTTTGGGGGTGTAGTTAATTCATGTCTTGTAAGAACACCTCAGGGACCAGCCAAAAGTGTTCAGATTAGCAGGTGTTCATATTTCAAGTTTTTACAAACATGTATGTTAATGGGAGATAACAAATTTAGGACCTAGAAAAAGTGTTCACATTGAGAGGTGTTCGAACTAGAGAGGTGACCACGGTACATACAAATTACATACAAATATTTTTGCAAGTCTGTGCATTAAAAATAAAGAACACGGGGGCCATTAACAGAAGCTTCATGAAGTTAAGAATTAGTAAAATCCATTGTTCTCTAACTGTGACATCATTATATCCATGGTTACAACAATTGATTTACAAATTCGTAACTTTACTAAGTTTCTGTTTATGATCCCATAGATAAGAGAGGTTTTTTGGATATACAGGTTTTACTATAAAATCATATGTCATTTACACATCCTTGTTGCAAATCAGGGACACTGTCATGTCTTTTCTGGTCATTCCACTAAATTCAACAATGGACTAAATTAGTTACAGCGATCTCCCCATCTTTATAGCAAGTTGGCACTGCACCCACTTGAGATTTTGAAAATAGGCATATTTTGACCAAATCAGGTCTAAATTGTGAAATCAAGAATTTTGGGCTCACTTGAGAAAATATCTTGATGGGAAGACTGAGTAAAGTTTTTATACATTTGGGTAAAGTATTTCATTTCTTCAATGGGGTGCCACCAATAAGTAAATTGTTTACATATTTGGGTAAAGTATTTCATTCTTTCAATGGGGTGCCACCAATGAGTAAAGTGTCTACATATTTAGGTAAAGTATTTCATTTCTTCAGTGGGGTGCCACCAATGAGTAAAGTGTTTATATATTTGGGTAAGTATTTCATTCTTTCAATGGGCTGCCACCAATGAGTTAAGTGTTTACATATTTGGGTAAAGTATTTCATTTCTTCAATGGGGTGCCACCAATGAGTAAAGTGTTTACATATTTGGGTAAAGTATTTCATTCTTTCAATGGGGGGCCACCAATGAGTAAAGTGTTTATATATTTGGGTAAAGTATTTCATTTCTTTCAATGGGGGGCCACCAATGAGTAAAGTGTTTACATATTTGGGTAAAGTATTTCATTTCTTCAATGGGGGGCCACCAATGAGTAAAGTGTTTATACATTTGGGTAAAGTGTTTCATTCTTTCAATGGGGTGCCACCAATGAGTAAAGTGTTTACATATTTGGGTAAAGTATTTCATTCTTTCAATGGGGTGCCACCAGGTTGTCATCAGGATGGTAGTACATATACTTTTTCATTAAGGTGCTGTACCATGTTGCTAAATCACGAAAGGACATATTCTCATTGTGTCATATCCTAAGTTTAAAGGTTGAAATTTCCTTCTAAGTGTAGTATAGTGGAATGTTAACAGAGGAAATTCAAGTTCAAAATATATTTCATCATCCCATGTTAAATTAACATGTTTTGTCTGGAACTGATCCTTCTAGTTACTGAATGTTCATGCAGTTATTTTACTCCATTATCTGAAATGTTCATGTTTGACTGCATAATGTATGCAGCTTGATGTCATTGAGCCCTTCAGATCTTAGACTATCCGAGAGAGTTAGAGGGAATGGATGTATTTGTTAGAGTATGCTTCACCCTTGCAAATAACTTCAATTCTAATATGATACATGACGTCACAATTGCTAGAACAATTGATTTACTGGTGTATATTGTAGTATGTATGACCGCTAAAATTCATAAATGCAAATAGTTGTGTTTCTTGTCTGTTAATCATATTAGAATCGTAACAAAGACCTCTATTTTATGATTTGTGTCAAATTTATGACCTCAAATTTTATTCTGATTATTGCCAAAGACCTTGATCGCTATGTGATTTTGGTCTTTTAACAATGAACAGAATAAAATTTTCGGTCATATATTACGCCATAAATCATAAAATTTTGGTCTTTTTTCTCTAAATTGATAGCACTATTGCACTTACCCTCGCTTCAGATGTTTAGAGATCCACTGAAATTACTAGTAAGTTGTTTCAGCCTATTCTTTCTTTTTCAGCCTATTCTTTCAGCCTATCCCAGAATAGTTGTAAACTACAATGTTGGCTCCATTATGATGTTCAAAATAATAGGCTAACCTATATTCACATGTACACCCCCAAAATGCAATCTGATTTTCGACACCGTTTTGGTGCCAAATTTCAGTGCCGTTTCAGCACCAAATGGACTGACTAGTCCGGTGGCAAATTTTGGTGTTGAAAGGTTTCGGTGCTGGAACGATGCCGAAACGGCGCCAAATTTTTTCGATGCCGAAACAGCGCCAAATTATATAACCTATATTAACATATACATGATTGATTGATGGCTTGGTTGATTTTTAGAATAGTTAGTTCACTTGTTTGATTTCATGGTTTATTGCTTGTTTACTTGCTTGTATGGTTGATTGATTAATTTATATTTGATTTGTTACTTTCAGACCAAGGTGAAACTGACAGAGCCATTAGACTATGAGACTGTGGTACTGAAGAATAAAACGTTGATAAACAATGACCCCCACAGAGAGCTACTGCTTTTTCCACATGATGACCTATCAGTAAGTTGTTTGTTTGTTGGGGTGTAAGTTGTTTCTTTGTATAAACAATATTTAAACAGTATATCTTGTTTGTTTAGTTGTTAAGTATAAGCATCACTTCATTTTAGAACAATATTTATTCAAATTTTCTTTTGTTTGTTTGTATTGAATAATCAAAATTTCATCAAGGAGAAAAGTCAATACAGTTTGCGTTTGTTTGTTTGTTTGTACCAAATAATCAGCATTTGATTTAACATCAAGGTCAATACAATCTTTTTTCTTCTTTTTTACATGTACATATTGAATATTCAGGATTTAAAAATTTAAAGATAACTGGTTAAGAACAAAATATTTTGAACAAATTAAAATGTTTGACATTTATAGATATCAAGGTACTCATGGTTCACATTAAAATAACTCAACCTGGTAAATGATAGCACATAAATGTAAATGTTTGAGATAAGAAATATGTTGAATGTAAAAGTACATTTATGTCACCCTAATACTTCCTTATACCATTTAAACAAGATATATTTTAGTCAAAAAGTGTTTTTTGAGTGAATCGTGATAATTTTTTTAGACACTTTTATTTGAATCAAAGCATTTTATGACCTTGATAGTATTTGCATTCATCAATATGTCATGAGCAAGTTTGGTTTGTAAAATGTTGTTTTTTTAACTTCCTAGTTACTATAAACTATAAATAATGTTGATTTTGTTTACATAAAACAAATAAACATACCACCTTTGAATGATCAAAGTGTCAAATTCCCCTCTATCTTATTTTAAGAAGTGTCTATATTTGATCATGGTTAATCCATGTAATTTCTTAAAAATTAATTAATTAATTAATGCGTTTGCTCACTATTTATTTCAATTTCGAGAATGTTGCTTTCTCACCTAAAACAGAAAGACACCAAACTGGAAAATATGGTTTTAAACTGTTCTATTCAGCCAACATTAAAAAGTTCAAATAGAAAATGAAATGAGGTATGTATTTGAGACATGACATATTGCTTTAAGGAAATTCTTGTGATAATGTTTTAAAAGTAAATACACTTTCTATAATTTTTTTGGCACAAGAAAACATGTTATCTGAATGAAGCTAGATCAGTTATAGGGAGTTCAACCTGGAAAATGAATAAACAAAATCGTTGTTAAAATATCTCAAGAATGTCACACTAGATTTCTGAAGACTGTCACTCTTGATTTCTCAAGACTGTCACACTAGATTTCTCAAGACTGTCACACTAGATTTCTCAAGACTGTCTCACTAGATTTCTCAAGACTGTCACACTAGATTTCTCAAGACTGTCACACTAGATTTCTCAAAACTGTCACACTAGATTTCTCAAGACTGTCACACTAGATTTCTCAAGATTGTCTCACTAGATTTCTCAAGACTGTCACATTAGATTTCTCTAGACTGTCACACTAGATTTCTCAAGACTGTCATACTAGATTTCTCAAGACTGTCACACTAGATTTCTCAAGACTGTCACACTAGATTTCTCAAGACTGTCACACTAGATTTCCTTGAAGCATGTACCATGAGTCAGCACCTAGTACATTAGGCCAATGGACTTAAATTCCTTGTTTTCAGTCAACATTAAATGATACAATGAATCTAAAGGTAAAACAATGCATTTAATGCCCTAATAAAGCATGTTTTAGTCAAATTCTTTACTTTTTGTATATTTCAGCAATCCACATTGCCACGTAGATTTAGAACTGTTCGTAGCTCAGTTCCACAAAGTGCGCTAAATGATGCAACAAGTCTATTGGTGAAAGAATGCATCAAAACCTACACCAACAACTGGCATGTCATACACTTCAAATACAATGCCTACTCAGGGAGCTACAGACAACTGCCCAAGTAAAGCCTCAGTCGCATTTGTCCTACGGCGTGTATACGGCAGCCGTAGCTTCAAAAAATCGATATTGAAGATCTACATCACTTATCCATATATTTTATGCTGCCTATTTCTCTCGATTTTGGGTAGCTATGGCCACTGTATATTTGCCATAGATCAAATGTGCCTGAGGCATAAGTAAGAAGTGAAATTGTGAAGATTTTTTTTTCATTTTTTCACATATTCTAGTGTTAATTACTTGTACAACATTTTTCCGTGTTTTCCTCAACACAGAAAGTATATATGGTTATAGCAACCATATTAAAAGAGGGAAGGTCTGTCAAGGAATGTCCCTTTAATATGACTTGTACAATTAGCTCTCCTAAATCAGCAAAATGAAACCAATGGAAAGAATAAGAAATCTTAAAATACAAAGAATGGAACCCAAAGTTTTTACCGAACATATAACTTCTAAAATCCCCATTATACATTATTGTAATAAATTGTATCATTGTATTTCTGTATCGTAAAAACCTAAATTGGAATAAACTATATTTGAAAAAGAAAAAAAAAACTTCTAAAATCCCCAAAATGAAAATGTTGGAGTCAAAAGAATCACACATTACAATGATTTTGTAGGTCACATGGGTCATATTGTACAAATATATATTATTTAGAATGATTTTATGGGCAAAAATAATTTGAGTTGAATATATTATTTTTACTTCAGGTTAAAGAAAGAAGAAGATGTATTACCAGAACATACATTTGAGATAGATGCTGAAATTGAAGGAAAAGATGAGGTAAGTGGAGACACCTATATTCTAGTCTTTTAAGTACAAACATCAAAGAGCTTGTTTAAATTGCAAATTATGTACAACAAACACCACAAAGGAATATTAGTTTGGGATATATGAAGAAATACACAGGCTTAAAAATTTATTGCAGGCCTTGCTATTGGGCTTTTTGAAGAAACAGGTTTATATGACTTTATGGGGCCCTGGTCTGATAGAAATGATCTAGAGCCTATCATAAAGGTCTGTCCTTATTCCACATACTCTTGGTTTCTACAATAATTGAGACCGCAAATGAAAACTTGAATTCAAACTGAAATAAAAAAAATGTAAAAAAGATTGGTCCACATGACATGAATATGCTCATCACCGGGAAAATAACCTTCATGTAGTCTACAAGGCAGATTTACAAATAGTTCTTCATTTGCTTTTTTCTAGGAAGCTCAAACAAATAGACTAACACATGTCCATGTGACAAAGCAAGGGTGGCTGTACAAAATGCCCGATGGTCGAGAAGAGACATCAAGAATTATTTTTACAAAGGTAGGCTAATATTATATTTTTACAAAGGTAATATTATATTTTTACAAAGGTAATATTGTGTTTTTACAAAGGTAATATTATATTTTTACAAAGGTAATATTATATTTTTAAACGGTGTAAAATATACTGTATGCTTGGAAAAGAGATTTTGTATCATTGTATTGAAACCTTTATTGAACCTGTTATTCAGCATTGTTGCTTTTAAATAAAGAGAATGAATATATAACACATCTATGTTATTATTTCCCTGCATAAAGTATCTTCAGAATAACAGTCATGGGCATTTTCACCTAAATACCAAGAGAAGTCCATGTAGACTACTGTTTAATCATTTCAGAGAAATTCAATGGTCATTGAACATGCCCGATGATCAGAAGAAATGAACGGAGGGGGTAGCTGATTTTCATTAAAAGTGAAAGCTTGATTTATAGCAAAAATATTGGCATTTGCACGTTGGCAACGCTGCGCCTTTTTTAATAGATCTTTTATCTTAGAAGTCCATCAGTTCAAAATAACTCCTAGAAGACCCAACATATCTCCCCGTGCACTGCGCCTATGCATTTAGCCATTCAGTTGTAACTTTCTCTTGAAAAAATAAATCTCCAAGATTTGTTGAATTTTCTACCGAAAATCAGCTTCTCCCCCTCCGTTCATTTCTTCCGATCACCGGGCGTGATAATGATTTTCTTTATTTTTAATTTTCAGAGTAATAAGCGAAGGTACTTCTACTTAAAACAGCAGGCAGATTGTACTTACATATTAGAGTTCCATAAAGATGATCAAAAGCTCCAGGCCAAGGGTTCAATATTTCTGGACTCTGCAGTTGATGTTGCAAAGGTTTGTGATTTTTGTACAAATATCTTTCGCACTGCAAAATTGAATGGGTAATGCAAATTAAGTTCTTTTTACCTATTAATTAACCTTTAAAACAGATAAAGTTTGTCTGCAATTTGATGGGGGAAACAAATATAGAAGATGAGACGTGTACTGGTAAGGCTGTAGCTAATAAAAACCAAAGCCTCCACATTGATAATATGATTATTTTCAGACCACTAAACGGGGCAAGTATGCATTTGCGTCCAGATGCGGGAAAGTGATAATGGACTATTTCCCCTCACGATTGAGTATGAAGGTGGTCACCAATATGTGTGTTAACTTCTTTATATCTTTATTTTCAGACCACTAAACAGGGCAAGTATGCATTTGCGTCCAGATGCGAAAAAGTGATAATGGACAATTTCCCCTCACAATTGCATATGAAGGTGGTCACCAATATGCGTGTTAACTTCTTTAATATCTTTTTTTTCAGACCACTAAACGGGGCAAGTATGCATTTGAGATCCAGATGCAGGACAAGAGATCATATGTGCTAGCAGCTGAATCAGATGCAGAAATGGAAGATTGGTTAAAAGCTCTGAAGAAAATAATTCAAACCCAGGAGAATAACGTGCCTGACTTAGGCAAGTTTAAACCAGGTATGGCCCTTGCACATTTATGTTCTGTTTTGGTGTTTAGCAGTTGGCGTTTGGAATCTGTAACAAATGGCAGGTGGTGACATTTTGCATGTTAAAGCCTTGTCTATCAGATACATATCAACTGAGGCAAATACATGTCAGATACATATCAACTGAGGCAAATATATGTCAGATACATATCAACTGAGGCAAATACATGTCAGATACATATCAACTTAGGTAAATACATGTCAGATACATATCAACTTAGGTAAATACATGTCAGATACATATCAACCGAGGCAAATACATGTCAGATACATATCAACTTAGGTAAATACATGTCAGATACATATCAACTGAGGCAAATACATGTCAGATACATATCAACTGAGGCAAATACATGTCAGATACATATCAACTGAGGCAAATACATGTCAGATACATATCAACTGAGGCAAATACATGTCAGATACATATCAACTGAGGCAAATACATGTCAGATACATATCAACTGAGGCAAATACATGTCAGATACATATCAACTGAGGCAAATACATGTCAGATACATATCAACTTAGGTAAATACATGTCAGATACATATCAACCGAGGCAAATACATGTCAGATACATATCAACTGAGGCAAATACATGTCAGATACATATCAACTGAGGCAAATACATGTCAGATACATATCAACCGAGGCATATACATGTCAGTTGATGATAGTTACAACCATCAATTTTATTTTTCACATGTTACAGAGGACCTCTCAGGGGTTTCCCCAGCAAAGGGTGATTTCAGAGAAAGTCTGCAGAACAGCATGAACCCAGAACTTGTCAAAGTAAGTTAAACATTGTATTATCATATACCATAAATAGGGGTTATGTACTGGGAGGTTTTGGATATAGGGTTTATTCAGAGGGAGATATGCATATCTACCTTAGGAACTGTAGGGTCCTTTTTTCAAAGTGGGAAGATATACCCTGGAGCAGGAGATATGGAGGTTCTGGATATGGAAATCTTAAAATCAGGATATGGGATATATCTTATCAACTTATCTCCCAAAAACTCTACTGGGCATATAGGATAAGAGGTGTTATTATTAGCTCACATGGTGAGCTATTGCAATCACTCACTTGTCTGTCTGTCCGTCTGTCAACAATTGGCCAGTTTTAAAACATGTGTCGATAGGATAACCGTATTAAGTTTTTTTTAACATCAATGCAGAAAACTCCCTTATTACTCCTGGTTTAAAAGCTTGCCTATTTTTAAAATGGCCACCATTTTTGTCTAATAGCCTATATAATTGTGTATAAACCATGTTTACAAATTGTAATTACTACATTGAGGGACACCTATAATGCCACTGGCGATTGGGTCCCTCGTGTATGATATGTACTTTTAATGATTAATGGTAATAAAATCTCTTGATAAAAAACAAAACAAACCATTTTTGTCTCACGAAATTCACTTTTGACCCATTTCCTAGCTTTACAAATTTCAGGTGTCCTGCATTGTAAAAAGCCATGTCACTGTAAAGAGTAGTTGTATGAAATAATCTTGTTACAAAAAATTGGCAAAAATTACATCAATCTTTTTTATTTTCTGCCATTTTAGCCATCATTCACTTTTGAGCAACACCATGTGAGCCCAGTACCCACAGTACTATTTTTCCATATATGACCCATTACACCATTTACCGTATTCTCTGTAATTACCGCCCACTCTCTAATAAGCGCCCACCCCGCTTCACAAAGTTCAAGAAACATCGAGGAATCAACAAGAATTGAAGAATATATCAGGAAAAAAATATTTCTCAAAATCCAGGAGCGGGCGATAATAGAGTACTTACCCTAAAACTGCTGTAAACACGACGCGTTTTGTAATTCTATTCATCCTCTCGATACATATCTATCGATGGGTGCTTCCCACACCATACCATGCTAATATTGTCTCCAAATAGTCCATAATGAATGAAGGAATTGTTCTTTATCGGCATTCAGAAATTTCAAAAGCTACTGCGCAGATGTTCTGCGCATGTCAAGGTCGTGAACTTTCTGGTTTCTTTTTAATGTTTCTCGACTTTTACACGACTTTTGCACGAATAATGATGATCTCTCATCAAATTAGAAATAATGTATAACTTTAGATCGATATCCAGCAGTCTCTAGTGGAAATATTGAAGGTAATCGGCGATAATGACAAAGTGGGCGTGCCGGAAATAAATTAGACATAGACGGGTCTTCAACCACTGTCAATATTGTCTAAGCGATCTTTACCGTATTCTCTCCAATAACAGCACTTGTCATATTATTATAAAAATATGTTGAAGAAAATGCATTCTTGTCAAGAAAAATTGCCATACATGAAATTCCTCGGGATTTCTGATTTCTTTCATACATGGGCGCTTATTAGAATGGTCTAAATAATGTATTTTCAATTTTCTAAACGCCCTGGGCGCTAATTACAGAGAATACGGTACTTGGTTTATCAATTTTTACCCCATCTAAAAATCTATAAAAATTGGGAAGCTTCCAATTATAAATGTTTGTCTGTGTGAGCATAGATATATCATAGATTTCAAATTTGACACAAAAAAGTAATTATTAATTTGATTTTTAAAATGACAAGAGTGTTGATCCAGTTTCTTTGCCATAGACTACATAATAGAACTTTGTTTCAGGAATTGTTTTTAAATTATTTTATTTTAATGTTATTCACTTGTTTTATGTCTACTTTCAGTATGCAAAAGAAACAGACAAGTATTCACTTGTTTTATGTCTACTTTCAGTATGCAAAAGAAACAGACAAGTATTCACTTGTTTTATGTCTACTTTCAGTATGCAAAAGAAACAGACAAGTATTCACTTGTTTTATGTCTACTTTCAGTATGCAAAAGAAACAGACAAGTATTCATTTGTTTTATGTCTACTTTCAGTATGCAAAAGAAACAGACAAGTATTCACTTGTTTTATGTCTACTTTCAGTATGCAAAAGAAACAGACAAGTATTCACTTGTTTTATGTCTACTTTCAGTATGCAAAAGAAACAGACGAGTATTCATTTGTTTTATGTCTACTTTCAGTATGCAAAAGAAACAGACAAGTATTCACTTGTTTTATGTCTACTTTCAGTATGCAAAAGAAACAGACAAGTATTCACTTGTTTTATGTCTACTTTCAGTATGCAAAAGAAACAGACAAGTATTGACTTGTTTTATGTCTACATTTCAGTATGCTAAAGAAACAGACAAGTATTCACTTGTTTTATGTCTACTTTCAGTATGCAAAAGAAACAGACAAGTATTCATTTGTTTTATGTCTACTTTCAGTATGCAAAAGAAACAGACAAGTATTCACTTGTTTTATGTCTACTTTCAGTATGCAAAAGAAACAGACAAGTATTCACTTGTTTTATGTCTACTTTCAGTATGCAAAAGAAACAGACAAGTATTCATTTGTTTTATGTCTACTTTCAGTATGCAAAAGAAACAGACAAGTATTCACTTGTTTTATGTCTACTTTCAGTATGCAAAAGAAACAGACAATTATTCACTTGTTTTATGTCTACTTTCAGTATGCAAAAGAAACAGACAAGTATTCACTTGTTTTATGTCTACTTTCAGTATGCAAAAGAAACAGACAAGTATTCATTTGTTTTATGTCTACTTTCAGTTTGCAAAAGAAACAGACAAGTATTCACTTGTTTTATGTTTACATTTCAGTTTGCAAAAGAAACAGACAAGTATCCACTTGTTTTATGTTTACATTTCAGTTTGCAAAAGAAACAGACAAGTATTCACTTGTTTTATGTCTACTTTCAGTATGCAAAAGAAACAGACAAGTATTCACTTGTTTTATGTCTACTTTCAGTATGCAAAAGAAACAGACAAGTATTCACTTGTTTTATGTCTACTTTCAGTATGCAAAAGAAACAGACAAGTATTCATTTGCTTTATGTCTACTTTCAGTATGCAAAAGAAACAGACAAGACTATCCACTTGTTTTATGTTTACATTTCAGTATGCAAAAGAAACAGACAAGTTTTATGTTTACATTTCAGTATGCAAAAGAAACAGACAAATACTTAGCCAGTTTGCGTAATAAAGAAAGACTGGGAATATTTGATATTTATCCTGATATGCAGGTAAACTTAAATACACTAAGCTAAATGACTACCTCAATATGATATCATCTCTTAGATGAAATGAAATTATATTCACATTTGGCTCTTAGTCATTCTTTCCCATTCTTCTCATTTGGTGTATAATTTGTATGCCAGGTTACAAAGAGGAACATTTCTCAAGGTTAATGGATAATCTAGGTTGATTTATAATCTTGATATCAATCTTGATTCAACATAAAAAAAACTCAATCCTGAATCAACCTTAAAATCAAGCTTGATTCAACATTGATGTCCTCAACCTTGAATCAAGCCTGAAAAATCAACACTGAATCAAGCTTGATATCAACATTAAATTGACCCTGAGCTGAATCAGCATTGATTCAAGCCTGAATCAAGCTTTTCTAATACTGAATCAACCCAAGGGCAATTATGACTTTATCAATGCTTGAGAAAGTTAATGTTGAATCAATGTTGATTTTTCATTGAATCAACATTGAGAATTGTTTGCTGTGTACAAAGAGAAACAGACAAAAACCCTGATCTTGTGATTATATAAGATATACTAAAAGTATATGCTTTTTTGCCAGAGGTCTCTAACTGATGAACCAGAACTTGAACCAGAGTGGGATGTCTTCAAGGAACAATTTGGCAAAAGATTTGTAGTGAGATACGACAGTTTCAAACTACGTCTTCAGGCCAATATTGCTGAAGATGGAAAGCCCGAGAGACTTGACAATGTAAGTATTTATCGATACTCTCTAATCATGTGTGATTTATTTGTTTAACTGTAAAAGAACACTATGAGAAATATCTGACAGGTTCATGTCCATAGCATTTTGAAAATTTGGGTTTCTTGAACAAAAAATCTGAAGGAAAGATTGGATGCTATTTTGTTGATAAGTTATATTTTAAAAGATTTTTCAGGAGAACATTTTAATGGCCAGTCCTTTGCATTTTATTTTTTAAGCTTTCATTGTTCGAAATATTTTTCACATTACTTACAGTAAAAAATAAGTTTGATATATATAAAAGTAAATAGAAATAGATCATCTAAATCTGATTCTGCTGTGTATTAAAAAACACTAACTTTTCTATTCTTCTAACTTTATTTTTCATCTTTGAGTTCACTTTATGGTACATGAATGCAGAAAATTAATATTGTTTGTTTGTTTATTGTTTTGTTTGTTTTTCCAGCCAGAGCCCTTTTTCATCAGTCTTGCTTTGTATGATGCCAAAGAAGGAATAAAAATATCTGAAGATTTTCACATCGATCCAAACTCACAAGATATCAGAGAGATGATTCCCAGGGACTTATTGCTGGCTAATGACCAGCTAAACACTATAGATGGCCAACCTGATACCCAACCAGACCTGTACGGAGTTAAGCATGAATGGCTGCAAAAACCACACCAGGTTGGAACTATTCAAATTTGCTGAATTTTGCTGATCCATCCATATTTTTATGGATGGATCAAAAAAAACTTGGAAATTGTTAAATAATTCTTAAAAATCAAGTTTTTTGAATGAGTTTGGATTAAATCTTCATGAACTGTACACTTATTGGATAAGCACTCTTTTTGAAAAGAAAAATGGGCCACTTGTTTCTGTATTGAGACCTCAATTTACATTGGCTATGGTAGAGATTTGCTTCTATTGCTTTTCAGGCCATATTCTCCATAATGAAGCCCAACTCTGACATTTATCTAGTCGCCAAGATTGAGAAAGTTTTACAAGGTGGAATAACACAGAGCACAGAACCATACATTAAGTCTACAGATGTGAAAATGGGCACCAGGATACATAAGCACATGAAGATGTATTCTAATAGGATTGGTCATTATAGAATGCCCTTTGCATGGGCTGTTAGGTAAGTTTGAACTATGATACTATTGGTATTACATACTTAGAATAAGTTGGTTTTGTTGTCATGTATTTGATGTTAAAGGGGTGTCATTTTTTGTCTGCACATTTCCAGACAAACCTCTGGATAGATTGATTTGAATTATAGATTATGAAAATGAAGACTTGATTAGATTCTGACAAAGGTAGTGGAGATTTCTGTTTTTAAGATACCATTTAGATATTCAGTTATTCACTCTCATTCTTTAATTTCAGGCCAATATTCAGACAGTTCAATTGGGAGCTAGAAACTGAAAGTGAAATGAAGCTCTACAGAGAAGACAGTGCCTAGAGTCCCATGGTTTATATTTATTTTTCATGCTTTAATTTCAGGCCAATATTCAGACAGTTCAATTGGGAGCTAGAAACTGAAAGTGAAATGAAGCTCTACAGAGAAGACAATGCCTAGAGTCCCATGGTTTATATTTATTTTTCATGCTTTAATTTCAGGCCAATATTCAGACAGTTCAGTGGGGAGCTAGAAACTGAAAGTGAAATGAAGCTCTACAGAGAAGACAGTGCCAAGAGTCCCATGGTTTATATATATATTTCATGCTTTAATTTCAGGCCAATATTCAGACAGTTCAACGGGGAGCTAGAAACTGAAAGTGAAATGAAGCTCTATAGACAAGACAGCGCCAAGAGTCCTATGGTTTATATATATATTTCATGCTTTAATTTCAGGCCAATATTCAGACAGTTTAGTGGGGAGCTAGAAACTGAAAGTGAAATGAAGCTCTATAGACAAGACAGCACCAAGATAGAGGAAAGTGAGATTATAAAACAACTCCAAGATTACAGAAGGTATGATATTTAAAACCAAAAAGGAAACATTTGAAGAATAAAAGCAAATCTCTAAATCATTTGAATCGTAAAATTTGATAGTTAAACATCAAAAAAGGAAGTGTTGACAATTGTTATAGCAACCATTTTTATGACTGACATCACTGTCTATAACTATGACTGACATCACAGTCTATAACTATTGTATTAGACCCTTTCCAGTCAATCCTGCCACCTTTTTGTAGGTGAAAGAAGCTACGATATATTGGCTAGATTGATGATGGCATTGGTTGTTGGTAGCAGTCTGTCCAAGCAAAAATAGGATTAACTTATTGCTAATTTTGAAAAAGAACAACCTTTGACATTGCCTATCATCAATCTATCCAATATATAATTCTAGTTCTTTGATGTATGAAAAGGTGGCAGGATTTACTGGAAAGGTCTATTGTAACCAGGATGAAATATTGTCACATTAATTCTTTGTTTCACATGCATCATAGATAAATGAATACATACAAGATCAATATTGTTAAAAATGTAAAAGTTCTCAGAAAGTAATGAAAATCGACACCACATTGTCTGTATGTATGTCTGTATGTCTGGTATTTAAATATGGCATGTGAACAGTGCATATTGCATTATATTTATAGGCCAGAAAAGCAATCCAAGTGGCAGATAGTCCCAGGGAGCTTGAAGATTACAATATCATCATTTAGACAAACCATACAGAGTGAGTACATATGCACTTAGTGATTTTTCAACCTTGTGGACAATTCATAGAAATTTGATTTAAGGAATCTAGGATATATTAGCTAGCTTTGTAAAGTCAGACAGTGTAGGCAGTTCGCTCTTTTGGTAGGTTAAAAAACAGATTTTCAAAAGGGTAGCAATATATTTTCTTGAAACTAGAATCTATATGAAAACATGAACTTTGAGTAAGTAGTCATTGATAACCTTGAAACTAGAATCTATATGAAAACATGAACTTTGAGTAAGTGCTCATTGATAACCTTGAAACTAGAATCTATATGAAAACATGAACTTTGAGTAAGTGGTCATTGATAACCTTGAAAATAGAATCTATATGAAAACATGAACTTTGAGTAAGTGGTCATTGATAACCTTGAAAATAGAATCTATATGAAAACATGAACTTTGAGTAAGTGGTCATTGATAACCTTGAAACTAGAATCTATATGAAAACATGAACTTTGAGTAAGTGGTCATTGATAACCTTGAAACTAGAATCTATATGAAAACATGAACTTTGAGTAAGTGGTCATTGATAACCTTGAAACTAGAATCTATATGAAAACATGAACTTTGAGTAAGTGGTCATTGATAACCTTGAAACTAGAATCTATATGAAAACATGAACTTTGAGTAAGTGCTCATTGATAACCTTGAAACTAGAATCTATATGAAAACATGAACTTTGAGTAAGTGGTCATTGATAACCTTGAAACTAGAATCTATATGAAAACATGAACTTTGAGTAAGTGCTCATTGATAACCTTGAAACTAGAATCTATATGAAAACATGAACTTTGAGTAAGTGGTCATTGATAACCTTGAAACTAGAATCTATATGAAAACATGAACTTTGAGTAAGTAGTCATTGATAACCTTGAGACTAGAATCTATATGAAAACATGAACTTTGAGTAAGTGGTCATTGATAACCTTGAAAATAGAATCTATATGAAAACATGAACTTTGAGTAAGTGGTCATTGATAACCTTGAAACTAGAATCTATATGAAAACATGAACTTTGAGTAAGTGGTCATTGATAACCTTGAAACTAGAATCTATATGAAAACATGAACTTTGAGTAAGTGGTCATTGAAAACCTCGAAACTAGGATCTATATGAAAACATGAACTTTGAGTAAGTGGTCATTGATAACCCTGAAACTAGAATCTATATGAAAACATGAACTTTGAGTAAGTGGTCATTGATAACATTGAAACTAGAATCTATATGAAAACATGAACTTTGAGTAAGTGGTCATTGATAACCCTGAAACTAGAATCTATATGAAAACATGAACTTTGAGTAAGTGGTCATTGATAACCTTGAGACTAGAATCTATATGAAAACATGAACTTTGAGTAAGTGCTCATTGATAACCTTGAAACTAGAATCTATATGAAAACATGAACTTTGAGTAAGTGGTCATTGATAACCTTGAAACTAGAATCTATATGAAAACATGAACTTTGAGTAAGTGGTCATTGATAACCCTGAAACTAGAATCTATATGAAAACATGAACTTTGAGTAAGTGGTCATTGATAACCCTGAAACTAGAATCTATATGAAAACATGAGTAAGTGGTCATTGAAAACCTTGAAACTAGAATCTATATGAAAACATGAACTTTGAGTAAGTGGTCATTGAAAACCTTGAAACTAGAATCTATATGAAAACATGAACTTTGAGTAAGTAGTCATTGATAACCTTGAAACTGGAATCTATATGAAAACATGAACTTTGAGTAAGTGCTCATTGATAACCTTGAAACTGGAATCTATATGAAAACATGAACTTTGAGTAAGTAGTCATTGATAACCTTGAGACTAGAATCTATATGAAAACATGAACTTTGAGTAAGTAGTCATTGATAACCTTGAAACTGGAATCTATATGAAAACATGAACTTTGAGTAAGTGCTCATTGATAACCTTGAAACTAGAATCTATATGAAAACATGAACTTTGAGTAAGTGGTCATTGATAACCCTGAAACTAGAATCTATATGAAAACATGAACTTTGAGTAAGTGGTCATTGATAACCTTGAAACTAGAATCTATATGAAAACCTAGTTATATGAAAACATGAACTTTAAGTATGTAGTCATTGATAACCTTGAAACTAGAATCTATATGAAAACATGAACTTTGAGTAAGTGCTCATTGATAACCTTGAAACTAGAATCTATATGAAAACATGATCTTTGAGTAAGTGGTCATTGATAACCCTGAAACTAGAATCTATATGAAAACATGAACTTTGAGTAAGTAGTCATTGATAACCTTGAGACTAGAATCTATATGAAAACATGAACTTTGAGTAAGTGGTCATTGATATCCTTGAAACTAGAATCTATATGAAAACATGAACTTTGAGTAAGTGCTCATTGATAGCTTTGAGACTAGAATCTATATGAAAACATGAACTTTGAGTAAGTGGTCATTGATATCCTTGAAACTAGAATCTATATGAAAACATGAACTTTGAGTAAGTGGTCATTGATAACCTTGAAACTAGAATCTATATGAAAACATGAACTTTGAGTAAGTGGTCATTGATAACCTTGAAAATAGAATCTATATGAAAACATGAACTTTGAGTAAGTAGTCATTGATAACCTTGAAACTAGAATCTATATGAAAACATGAACTTAGAGTAAGTGGTCATTGATAACCTTGAAACTAGAATCTATATGAAAACATGAACTCTGAGTAAGTGGTCATTGATAACCTTGAAAATAGAATCTATATGAAAACATGATCTTTGAGTAAGTGGTCATTGATAACCTTGAAACTAGAATCTATATGAAAACATGAACTTTGAGTAAGTGGTCATTGAAAACCTTGAAACTAGGATCTATATGAAAATATGAACTTTGAGTAAGTGGTCATTGATAACCCTGAAACTAGAATCTATATGAAAACATGAACTTTGAGTAAGTGGTCATTGATAACCTTGAGACTAGAATCTATATGAAAACATGAACTTTGAGTAAGTAGTCATTGATAACCTTGAAACTGGAATCTATATGAAAACATGAACTTTGAGTAAGTGCTCATTGATAACCTTGAAACTAGAATCTATATGAAAACATGAACTTTGAGTAAGTAGTCATTGATAACCCTGAAACTAGAATCTATATGAAAACATGAACTTTGAGTAAGTGCTCATTGATAACCTTGAAACTAGGATGTATATGAAAATATGAACTTTGAGTAAGTGGTCATTGATAACCTTGAAACTAGAATCTATATGAAAACATGAACTTTGAGTAAGTGGTCATTGATAACCCTGAAACTAGAATCTATATGAAAACATGAACTTTGAGTAAGTGGTCATTGATAACCTTGAAACTAGAATCTATATGAAAACATGAACTTTGAGTAAGTGGTCATTGATAACCCTGAAACTAGAATCTATATGAAAACATGAACTTTGAGTAAGTGGTCATTGATAACCTTGAAACTAGAATCTATATGAAAACATGAACTTTGAGTAAGTGGTCATTGATAACCTTGAAACTAGAATCTATATGAAAACATGAACTTTGAGTAAGTGGTCATTGATAACCTTGAAACTAGGATCTATATGAAAACATGAACTTTGAGTAAGTGCTCATTGATAACCTTGAAACTAGAATCTATATGAAAGCATGAACTTTGAGTAAGTGGTCACTGATAACCCTGAAACTAGAATCTATATGAAAACATGAACTTTGAGTAAGTGGTCATTGATAACCTTGAAACTAGAATCTATATGAAAAGATGAACTTTGAGTAAGTGGTCATTGATAACCTTGAAACTAGAATCTATATGAAAACATGAACTTTGAGTAAGTGCTCATTGATAACCTTGAAACTAGAATCTATATAAAAACATGAACTTTGAGTAAGTAGTCATTGATAACCTTGAAACTAGAATCTATATGAAAACATGAACTTTGAGTAAGTGCTCATTGATAACCTTGAAACTAGAATCTATATGAAAACATGAACTTTGAGTAAGTGGTCATTGATAACCTTGAAACTAGAATCTATATGAAAACATGAACTTTGAGTAGGTGGTCATTGATATCCTTGAAACTAGAATCTATATGAAAACATGAACTTTGAGTAAGTGGTCATTGATAACCCTGAAACTAGAATCTATATGAAAACATGAACTTTGAGTAAGTGGTCATTGATAACCTTGAAACTAGAATCTATATGAAAACATGAACTTTGAGTAAGTGGTCATTGATAACCTTGAAACTAGAATCTATATGAAAA